AAAATTCACACAAACTATTGCAAATATTCTGGGTACCAAAGCATACAAAATATCGTTGGAAGAAAAGAAAATTTTGCTTCCAAGTATGGATACAGGAGAATTCAAAATACTGAGAAGCTATCAAGCATGGAAGAGCGGCGGGCGATGCTGTTCGCTGTGAGCTCGATCTGCGAGGAAGAAGCGACGCGAGACAGCGTCAATGCTGAGTTTTCGTTATCGAGTAGTAGTCGATCGGTGCGGCCAACGTTGTCGCCTGATGCACTGCAAGTTCTGACAGAGGTCGCGATGAAGCAGCTTGAGCTTGTGGCACATGACCTGCAGCACTTTGCACGCCACGCCGGTCGCCGCACGATTTCTCCGGAAGATGTCATGCTCGTGGCAAGGCGCCAAGCAGGGCTCGTTCAAAAGTTGCAAGTGTTTCAGCGGCAACATGGAATGACCACAAACACAGCAGCGAAGAAGCGTAAGCGGAAAGACTCGTTCGATTAAATAGGACGACCGACTTGAACGGTCTTTGATGCCTGTCACTGTCGCATTCATTACAGGATCACGCATCCTTCGCACATGGACCGCTTGTGCCAGCTCAATGTGCGGCTCGGCGGAAGTGGCGCGGGAGGGAGTGGCTGTAGTGGTGCTTTGTCGACATGCTGTTGGGTCGCGCGTTGAATGGCGCTGGAAAACTGGTGGAATTCAGATGTAGGGGACAGGAGGGAGATGCGGCCGCCGTCCTTGCGTTTGTTTGTCCCAGACAGTGCCATATCGCTGAGGAGACCGCCCATGGGCTTATCGGATGGCGACGGAGGGCTGGACCTAGAATGGCAGTCCGAGCTGTTGCTGCGGCGACGTAGTCGTCTGTGATGGAAGTCACTGCCGCGCGACGAGCGCCGATGGCGATAGGCCGACTGCAACCGCGAATCGTGGATGGCACTCGTGTCGTCTTCAAAGCAGCGAAGAATGAGTGGCTCCGTTCTTGCGCCCTGCGACCACTCCTTGAACGACAGTTTGTGGTCTCGGTCGACGTCCATGCGCAGCAATTTGTGTAGAAATGCCACTGGGAGCACGCGATCGTATCTACAAGCACAATGAGCATCGCCGACACGCCCCATCAGCCGAACCGATTGAGTAGAGCGGTCTCGTAATCATCCTCGTCGTCGTCATGGCGGTCATCGTCGAGAGATCCAAAGGTGGGAGTGTTCCAGTGATGCGTCGCGTCGGAGCTGCACGAGCGAAATTTTCGCCTTGAAGATGTCATCAAGGCAGGCGAGGTCCCAACTTGATCGACATCATCGCGTGCGTCGTGGGATGCCGACGCGCGGCGGGTAGTTTGTACCGACGGGCCTTGCGACGATGACCCTGAACGTTGTCGAGGTGGTGGCGGAGGCGGCGCAACTTTGTTTTGGTAGATTTCGCACAAGGATGCGGCCATGTTGATCATTTTTTCAACGCCGAGGAATCCACTCTTGTCCACGTCGTACAGATCAAAGCACAGCCGCATCTTTTCCTCCGTGCTCCCCCGACACAACACCGACAGCGCCTGTTCCATCGAGATTCATCAAGTCGACAAGTCTGAACACGAATACAGGCCAAAAAGAAATCAAACTCCAATGGACGTACCAGCATGAGCCGCTGAAAGTCAATGTTGCCACGGGCATCGGGCTGCAGCACGTGGAAGAGTTGATCGGCACTTGCATGGGACCACTACAAACACCGGTGTGGGTGAGAACGCCATGTTTGAATGAAGATGAACGGTTGATGGCTCGGCACAAACCTCGGGAATGACACGAAAGAGGATCTGACGCAGCACGTCCTTGTTGATACCGTCGGCTGCCAGTGTCTGCCGCCGCATGGGCTCGTTATTCTGTTGCTGCTGCGACGTCGCGATGAGAAACTGAAACTCAACTTGGAGGTGTTCCAGTTGCGACCGATCAAAATGCGTAATGCCGTGCAGCGCACACACTTCTTGCTCGATGAAGTGTGGGTTAGCCCGTACATCTGCTCGCATGCCTTCGATGATGGTGTCGTTCAAGTTGTACTTGTTGTATCGAAGCAGCGACGTGATTGTGTCTGCGTCCACGTGGGAGGCATGTTCGAGGGCGACCTTGTAGCCAAAGCTCGCGTCGCCGTCATTTTCACGCTGTCCACACGCGGTCAATCACCATGGGCGGTCGTTGGGATAGTTTACCACTGATGCCACGATCGACTCGGTGGCGAGCTCCAAGAGACTTAGCGCCATGATAAAATGCGCGACGGAGGAGGAGTCCATGCTGCCCGCAAGCATGAACCGCCAATACGCGGTCAATGCAGGAAGAGGGATCTCGCCAACCCACACCGTCATGAACCACTTGGACGCAAGGAGCGAAGACAGGACATGCAGGTCCTCCTAGAACGACGTACGTGAACTGTTGCAGACGACGAGGAAGACCTTACAGGTTCGAGAACAGACGCGAGCGCGGGAACCTTGGACTGAATCAACTTGGCAAATACGTCCATGTCAACATGAAACCCTTGCAGTTTCGGCATGCGTGCGAAAAAGTCTGACGGGAAGATGCGCTCCATCAAGACAGCGTAGATCCAAAATACATGCTCTTCGTCGTAGTCCCCAGTCTTGCCATCGGTTGAGACGAGACCCATGAGGAAACTCACGACGTCGGCGTGACCTTGAACATACCCCACACGAACGTTTCGAAGAGAATACGCAAGCAGGATCCGCTTGAGAGCGTTGAAGTGAGGCGCGAGTGGATTCAAGTCCAAGTCTACGTCTTCATTCACGTCTTGGTGCATAACAAACCGGTAAAGGGACACGCCGGTCCGAGGGACGTCGAGGTCGATCTGGCGAATGTCGACGTCTAATACCGCGCCGGGGGATTCTGCTCGCGTGCACAGGTCGTGATACATGACGGTGCTGCGCGCTGCAAGCACTTGGGCACCCGACGATTTGTACCAATCCATCACTTCCTCGACGCCGTTTACACTCACGTGCTTCCTCGGCGGCCGTGTGATGATGGATTAGTGCGTTGGACGACTGTAAAATCCCGACGACAGCTACAGTGGGATGGAAATGATATTTTATTATTTCAATACAAAGATCAAGAGAATTTGCCGTTAGTCATGAAATTATTATGGCACATTCGATCTCAATGTAGGGGAATTCTGTATGCCCATCATCGAGAGCGTCAAACCTAAATCAATATTTCGCGTTTTTCACAATTCAGCGATTTTGAAAATATTAAGCGTACTCACACGTGCGCCTCCATCTTGGCAAATCAAGCGCAGGCAAGAGGGCTTCTTGGCATCACGGGAGCCTGAACCATGAGGGTGAATCTCATCGACACGAGTATGTATGTGGTGCATTTCAACAGAAAGAGAACGTTTTGGGAGAGATTGCGTGCCCACACACCCAATGTCCATGGAGTGCAGCGTCTGCCCGACTCTTCGATATCCAGTGGTAGTGCGCGCCGCACGTCATCCCAGGCCGGGACCGACTCACCCAAGGGTAAGAGTGACAGGACGATGAATGAAGTATGTGTGGCGGCGACCGACTAGCCAGCCCTCACACGCTTAGTTTGAGTATGAACAATTGGTGGCTCCAAGGTACAATGTCCAACTTGAAAATGTCAAGTCTCGGAGGTCACATAGCCACGGCAACGCTGCAGTCGCTTTGGTTTGGTGTGGCATGATGAGATCATTCCATCGAGTTTACACCGCATAGCCCTTTCGCAACCTTCTATGGCAGCGCGAGTGGCAAGAACAGATCAAAGCGCTCTAGTGACCGTGGCATTTCGAGTGAAGACATGGTGTACGCAGCTGTCACTCACTGGTCCCGGTTGTCAAACGATGCCATGAAACTACGAGCAATTGAGAATGCAGCGCACAAACTGTTCGTAGACGATGCGCAAGGTGTGCTCCACGTTTTCCTGGGCGTTCTAGTTCGTCGCATCTCGTTTGAGGCGGGGGTGTGTTTCTCCACCAACTCCAAATATTGTTAGGAAACTAATAGAATTTTTTTTTCTTTATCACATGTCAAAAATCTTCCAAAAAATATCACCTGAATCACCGCATATATATTGATCTTTGTATGCCTCACTATAATCTTGGAACACAGCCCATCACTTTGAAATCGAGTGTCCGTCCCATCATGATGAGCATGACGACAACGATGGATGCTTTCCAGGACCAGGTGCGACGGTCTAACTCCCCTGCGCGACGTCTCACTACTCTACAGGCTCGTAGCTGCTATCATGCACTTCAATCGACAGGAGACTGGAAGTTGCAGGTCCAGGAGCTGTCGGACCTTCAAGAAATGTTGGACGACCTCCACCGTAGTGGACAAATGAACATCGATCTCATCATGGAGTCCCTTTTGCCGCTTGCTGTAAGACGACTCTAGCGCTGCATGTGTTTTTCTGTATACTCCTCAACTCACATCCTTTGTAGCCACTCATGCATGCTTTGGTCACCTCCGTCCGATCTGAGGTGGTAAAGAAAGCTTGTTGCTCTGTGGCCCGGTTTGCGTCCGTATGCGGCCCTATGTTCGATCCATTCGCGAACCAAGTCCTTCCCTCATTGATTCAAATGGCATGCTCGAAGGTTCAAGTCGTACGTCGCGCCGTGGAGGACTGCTTTGCGGAGTTGTCGTCGTGTTCACGCTACAATCTCGACGCGTTTTGCAACCACTTCAACACGGCCCGTACTGGTATCGAGTCTGAATATTGTCCATGCAGCACACTTGTAGTGGATACTGACCATTCCCTCCTCGTGCAGATGAATCCCGTTGTCTCCTCGTCAAGCAAATCCCAATTTACCTTAAGGCGTGGCCCAGATCCGAACTGGACCCACATTTTGATCAGCTGAAGGGGTTATTGCACCGTGCATTGCGCGACAAAAACGACCTGGTTCGCATTGCAGCGCGGGGAGCGTTTTGTGTGCTTGCCGATACGTGGTGCGATCTCAAACATTGTCTAACCCACAGTACCATCTAATGTTGCTCTATAGGGCTGAGCACGTAAATGACCTCGTGGACATGCCATCACCGCGCCACCGATCTTGTTTCGCCCAAGAGCACCCGTCTGCTAATTTCACGATGCAACTCGTGGCTAAATACGCCTCCCTAACTCCTCCAGTCCGCACGCCATTGCGACCAACGAATCCTTTGGCGTTTTCGCCTTCGATCAATCTGGGCCACGGCACACCAAGTGCTGCGGGAAAGCAATTGCCGCGCCGCCGCCTGAACAAGGATAGTATATGCGCAGCATTTGACCCGACAGAGTCGGTCTTGTCGTGTTCGTCCAAGACTTCTTCAGAAGAAAACACTGTCGACTTTCCGACGCAGCAAATGGCAGCTGCGGAGACCATACAACGTGCAACAAAGGAATTCGATCGAGAACAACGTGAGGTTGCTCTCGCGCGTTTGGATTCGAGCGCTAAACTGACCCCTCATGCCCAATTGGACGACTCGTTGCAGCACCCGTTGCGGAGCATCTCTGCCAAAGCTGCCTCAACTCGAAGTGCGCCGAACCAGCCTTCAATCGTCAAGTCGGTGGTTGGTACGCTGGTGACATGGTTGACATTTGCGAGTGTCCTGTTTGCATTATACACAGTGACAGGAGCAGTGCTGAGTGCGCTGGCGCTGCAGCAACGTGGTGGACTCCTTGTCGAGCTCGAGCAGTTGGACATGTCCATAGCCCGTACGTTCCACGACCTCCAGACCAAGGAAGTCGCGCTGGAGTCTGCGATGGCCGAGTTGACGTCGTCGATGGCTGCCCAGCGCCACGACGCACACGAAGCGATGGACGCGTTGCGCGAGTCGAGTGCCGCCTGGAACAAGTCCATGCGCGATGACATGGAAGCGTTCAAAGTGGAATTCATGGCGATGTTGCTCAAGCCCGTGGATGCGGCGTGAGGATCCCAGGAGACATGCGCCGGCTCACAATGACCACACGTGTTGCACGCCTATTTATTGCATTCAAAAACGATTGAACAAACACGAGTGTTCTCATCCGATAGCCCAAAGAATACCTCCGGCTCAAAACACACAACGTGAACGCTTTGAAAGGCTGGGTCGGGTTCCGCGTTTACAGAGGCGTCCTACTAGTTGATGCATGACCGACATGGTTGACCTGGCTGGTGGGCGAAATATATATCCAAGCGTGCGTTGCCTAGGCGACGGTCGAGCTGCCCTGTCGTGCCAACTGGGCCATTGCGAGATCCGCCAGCACGAGCGCCGACATGGCTTCCGCGAGAGGCGGTACCCGAGGCAACACGCACGGGTCGTGGCGCCCTTTGGCTTCCAACACTGTGTCTTGGCCATCGTAGTCGACGGTCGATTGAGCTTGTCCGATGGTCGAGACGGGTTTGACTGCAATGCGAAAGTAGATGTCCGCGCCAGACGAGATCCCGCCGAGGACGCCGCCTGCATCGTTCTTGGACACGCCGAGGGATCCCGACGAGCCAGCACAGAACGGGTCGTTGTGCTGCGACCCACGCATACGAGTCCCGGCAAATCCAGAGCCGTATTCAAACCCCTTGACGGCCGGCAGAGACAGCATAGCGTGGGCCAGCATCGCTTGCATCTTGTCAAAGCAGGGCTCGCCCAGACCGACAGGAGCGTTGCGGATCACACAAGTCACGACGCCGCCAATGGAGTCATGCGATGCCTTGCACTCGCGAATCGTTGTTGCCATCCCGCATGCAGACGGAATGTGAGGACAGCGAACCGGCACGAGGTCGCCGGCAGCACCCCACTGCGACAGGTCAAATCCGTCCGGGGTCGGCACTTTGTCGCCCACTCGGTTGTATAACTCGCCATTCAAGTCGGCGTAAGCTGGGGACGAGAGATCCGCGGACGATGCGATGAAGTCGGCTTCGGTCGTGCCGGGTCGCAGCAGCACCCGCAGGCTGCCGATTGAATCCACTTCTTCTCGGGAGTACAACGCAGCGTTTGGGTTGTTTAGATCATGCAGAGGCATGTCCACCTAGTTCAAGACTGGTTAGCATAGGAGATGGATGTCAATCAACATACGTGGCCAATGGAGCTGACCCATGACACGATCTGGGTGTTATACTTGAGTCGCAGCCACTTGTCTGCGATCGCACCAGCGGCCACACGACCAATAGTCTCTCTGGCGCTCGCGCGACCGCCACCACTTGACGCACGCACGCCATACTTGACTTGGTACGTGTAATCCGCGTGGCCAGGTCGCGGCACGTTGCTCATTTCTTTGTAGTCCTGAGGCCGCACGTTCTCGTTCGGGACGAAAACTGAGACAGGTGTACCCAACGTGATGCCATGTTCGGTTCCGCTTTGAATGGTGACAAGGTCCTTTTCGTCGCGCGGGGTTGTGAGGGAACTTTGTCCTGGTCGGCGCCGCGTGAGCTGCGGTTGGATGTCCTGTTCCGTCAGCTCAAGGCCAGGTGGAACGCCATCGATGATAGCACCGACACCCTTGCAGTGCGACTCGCCAAACCTAGACATAGCGTGCATGAGGACGCGAAGCGGGCACCGGCGGCGGCCTACGTCGTGACGCGGAAGAAGCGGCCAAACGTGCTCATGATTGCCTAAAGATGTTGTGCGTCGAGGGATCTTCCTCGTCATACTCCTTCCGGATACACCTTGGTCGTGATTGGCCAAACGTCCAAGTTTATCCGGATTTTTGCGACTTGCCACGTGAAAATTATTGGCGCTGCGGAGGTGGATGGATGCGCGCGTTGACGTTCCTCGATCGAGGTGTGGCCATGAACGAGGCCTTCCAGCTCACGAAGTTGCAGATTCTATGCACATAATCCACCAGCCGTCGTTCGAGGTGGTGGAATTTCTTTTGTAGCGATACACAGTTCACTCTATTAAACTTACCGTGTGAAAAAGTGCGTGGACATCTTCAACCTGGCTCAAGGCCCACATGGGCGCAGAATGCACTCGTATGCTTGACATGAGCTCGACAGACGTACGCGGTCTCAAAGGCCACCTCGACATGATTCGCTCCATTGCCCCTGACCGGTGCCCCCCTTGGGTCGGGTGCGGATAATATTCATTTATCCGGACGATAGGCCCTGCAATCCCACCGTTCGAAACCAGCGCTTGTTGAGGATGCCGCACGCAACAGCGTCGTCGGAGCTGCAAGTCCAGTGGGGATCGTCTGGACTCGTCATACGTCATGCTTTTGTGGCAGAGGTGACAATGCGTCCCGGCAAAGGATCGTCCAAGTCAAAGATATCGTTCTGGGATGCCAAGAAGATGTTGGAGACACTTCGTGTTCAATTCGATCACGCACGAACGGTGACGAAGTCCAATCAAGACACGATGCTTGTTGTCCGCTTGTACTTCTTCAAAGCAGAGGCGTTCAACGGTGCATTCTCCACTGTGTCTGGGCAACCAAACAGCACCGTGTTCGCCCAGGGCAATGCCGTCGAGATCCACATCTCGGAAGTCGACACGGTGTCACCCTCTTGTCCACTTGCTGTGACCGCGCCTGCAGATTTTGACCAACACTTGAGAGGCTGTCGCGCTGACACGGTCCACATCAAGGGGCTCCCGGCAAAATGGTTTGACGTGAACACGAGCCGGTTCCTCGACGACGACCCTGTGGCTGCCACAAGCACCTACATGAAAGAAGAGCATGCTCTGCATCAACTCTTTAGCACGTTTGGCACCATATCGTGTGTATACATTATCGAATTGTCACGAGTTTTCACTCAACTCTCGTAGGGCGATCGAGGTCGTTCCAAGTACCACGTCGTCGGACGATACCGATGCTGCGTCGGCAAAATCCACGTCCCTGTTTGACTTGTATGTCCAGTTTAAGACATACGAAGGAGTGCGGAAGGTGTTGTCGGCGCTCACTGACGGCGGAAGCCGCGTCCTGTGCCATGTACGTCCGTGCCTGCATTATGAATCGAGGCTGACGGCACTCTTGTGGAACGATCTAGACGTCGCATGTCAAGCTGTTCGTACCCCTTGTAGCTCAAGTTGACACGACTGAGTACCTCAGCGATGCTAAAATTCGTCAGCGCAGGTACTGCGCATCCTTCGTTGGACCCGCATGCAGAATGATCCAAGTTCACTGCACTTGGTGGCTCACGGCCGTGTTTGGTGCAGATTTGCAAGGGACCAGCGTATACATGAACATCAAGCGAAAGCTGCGGCGGCAAGCGCTGCCGAAAAAGCGAGGCAGGTGTCGGTAGAACAGGCAACGGCATTGCTTGGGCTGTTGGGTGACGATCTCGACGAAGTTGCAGACGACGCCATCAAGTTGTCTGTGGGGCTGACCGAAGTCAAGGCGGCTGCAGCCGCCTACGCCGCGTTAAAGGCGGCGCCGTCAATGGAACAAGTGGCGACTGTGCGACTGGCGCTGGACACTGTGCGCAAGCAAGTGGAAAAGGCGGTACAAGACAAGGCTGAGAAGGACGCTGCGGCCCAACGAGCCACCTGGGCCAAACAAGTGGACAAGGCAGCGACGGTCGCGCGCGAGTTGAAGCTCGCGAGACTGCACAAGCAATTGACCCAGGCGAAAGACTCGTTTTCCGATTACATCAGCCACGTAGCGGTCGTCGCAGATGTGGCAGCGGCCGACGAAGCACTCGCCGTGGCCATGGCAAGTGCTACCAAAACTCCTTCGGTACTCACACGACTTCAATCAGATATTTTAGTCGCATCGCATGACGTGGTTGATTCCCATGGTTGCACTAGACAAAAGATGGAGGCACGTCAACCCTGAACAAAGCCGAAGACGTCCAAGCGTACTTGAAAAAACTGGACGAAGATGTCGACGAAGCCGTGCATTCCGTGGAGGCTGTCGTCAGACGGTTGGAAGCAGTTGGTCGGTTCTACGCTCAATCTGCTGCCATTGCCAAGTGGCCGACCCCGTCGAAGTGCGCCCTTGACGTGCAAAGCCTGCTGCAAGCAGTTGAAGACGAGGCGTGGGGAGAGAGCACTGAAGACTTGACGCAACGTCTAGACCACTTGGACAAAATGATGCAGGCGACGGAAACGCTGCATAACCTGGAACGCCGTGTCGGCGAGATTGCCGCGAGACTTCCTTCTACCTCTGCCAATCCACGCGACGAAGACGACGACGACGACTCTAGAACACGTGCCCTGCATCTGCTCCACGACACCCTGCGGGACGCGTTGCACAGCGTTGCAAGTCCCGACGAGTTGCCCGAGATCGAAGCACAGATCCACCAACTCGACGCAGACGTTGAAGAATTTCGACAAGGTAGTGGGAACCAATCGGAACGCTAACCGACGGTGATGCGTGGCTGGAACTGACATGCGCGCACGTAGAGAAAGCCCAGCGCTTGAAGGATGCAGCGTCGCTGCCGGCCCAGATGCATCGAATTCGGGCGGCTCGAATGCGGTACGACTTGTCTGCAGCTCCCCTGTACACCAGACTGTCGTGACTAACCGAGGGGGCATTGGCTAGGCTTGCAGCATGGCGCGAGGACCAGAAGGTGACAACAAAAGAATATGCCGTGCAGCGAGTAACCCAGCACCCGGATCGCCACGCCAGTGAATCCTCCAAACGTCCGCGGCTGGTCAAGTACGTGGTCGCGTCTCGAGGCCGTTTGGCAAGCACAGTTTGGCTCAAGGACCCCGAGACGGGAGCGATCAGGGCACCCAAGACAGAAGAGGAGCGGCAGTTGGAAGACATGGAGGCGTTACGCATCCAAGTTGTGGAGAGCCAGCGACGGAAGGAGGCGGAGGCAGCAGCTCAGGTTGCGAGGGAGGCCGAGTTGCGCGCGCTTGTTCTACAAAGCATGAAAGCATCGAAGCGAACCAAATTCGCGACGCCGTAGTGCATGTAGAGCATAAACTAGTCTCATTCACCACCTAACTGTGCTACTAGTCATGCTTGGCCACGGGCGTCGACGGCCACATTGGGACCAGCTTGGATACGTGCTGCTGGTAGATGGCATAGTTGGGGTACTTTTTGAGCGTAATGTCCTCCGTGAGACGAGTGCTGCTTTGGAAGAGCAGTGAGAGCAGGATGGCACCGACGGCCGTCCAGTTCAGGGACCCGCTCGCAGACACTGAAAACAAATACACCGTCCACCACATCCTACCATCTACAGTCAGACAGAATTCATCGCAGAAATCGGCCGTACGACTGCTCTGCAAAGTAGTTGGGGTGGCGGCTATAAGCAAATAGCCCGGTCGTGCAAAAACCAACGTTGTACGGGTTGGGTAGCTCGTGCACCTTCTTCTTCGTTCGCTTGATCATGCCCCATCTACAACAACCTCGATGAGTGTGCTTGCAGTCTTCCTGGACGACGAACGGCAGCACGACCGCGTGCCTGGATGATCGAGAACGTACTTGGCTTCTTGGTAGTTATATTGCTGCTGGTCGGCGATGGTTTCCAAGATGAGGAGACCGGCAAACAACAGGGTGAGGCCCAAGTCCCAGAGCGTCCTGTAAACAGCCACAACGACAGTCCTGACGATGCGCATGACGCAGGATGGTACCAGTTGTCCAGGATGTCGCTTTTGTACTTGTTCTCCCACACGTTGAACATCACTTGGAGGGGACACGTGATGAGGAAGAGCAAAATGTGTTGGTAGAACGCGATGAACACCAACGAAAACACGTGCCACAGGATGGGGTTCGTAAACCCCGTCCGAACGTGCTCCCATCGATAGTCCTACATGCGCGTAAGCATCGTCTTGACGGATGCGCACGCACCTCAGCAGTCCACTTGTACCCGCCGCGGCGATAGAAGTTGAACGTCAGCCTGCCGCCCCAGTGCGTAATCAGCAGCACTACAACCACCAGGCGCAAGTCCGCGGCGAGTCCACGGTTCCACGCCACAATCAAGTAGTTCCAAGCGTATAGCACTGGAGTTATGGACCACAGCCGGTCCACGTGCGAGTAGTTCCCCGTCGATACTTGCAGGAGAAAGCACCCCGTGGCAATCACGAAACACAACACCAAGTTGGACACTATTGGCGGGACGGCGCTGTACGAGTCGCTGGTGTGAACGACTCGGAAGATGTCCAGCACACAAGCTTCCAGGCTCGGCAGCGACCACTCGCGGCTCAACTCGCGGCACAGGACCACCATGGACACGCGGCGGATGATCACTTTATCGAATTTACCGGAAAATTTTAAGGTATTTGCAGAGGTTGAACGCATCGACCGACCATTTTTCGCAGTTGGAGTGTTTGTACAACTTCATGACACGCGGCGAAAGCCGGCGAGTACTGAGCCACTGATCTCTTTTTTATGCACGTCGCGATAGCGAATATTTATGGATATTCGGCCCTTTGCGCAAGTATTTGCGCAACCCCTGAAACATGATATTTATCGGGTTTTGACGGTACTTTTGGTGTT